TTATTAAAATAAACCGATCGTTATAAAATGCATATCGGTATAGGTTCGTATCGCGGCACCTGAACTAATTTTTATTACAAATTTTAAACTCGATTTATTAGCGAGAGAAGACATTATTCTGAGTAAACAGGATAATTTATTATAGTTTAGTTGAAATTGATTCAACAAGTATATTTTTATAATTTTAGAGTTAATGTGTATTGGAGTACTCACCTACAGCACTTTCATATGCACCACCACCATACAGGGACGCATCAAACGATGATTTATTCTCTGTAAGGAACACATGGCTGCAGTAATTAACTATTCGGAATATTTTTATGTATCTACAGTTATTCGTTTTTGAATAACAACAAAATAAGGAAAACACTATATGAGAAATCGAGTGAACATCCAATGTTGTAAAAATTTGAATTTCAAACGCTCATAAAAATTTAATTTGACTTTCTTACAGACATTCTTTTTTTGATAAAGATAGATAATCGTATAAGAAATCTTGTATTACATTTTAAAATCTTAGATTTAAAAAGAAAAATTTTTATGAATTCTTAATTCAAAATAATTTGCTAATTTTCGTGATTTTTCCATATTTTGTCAATTTTTGAACATTAAATGCTTATAGAAAAACAACTGTGACTAATGATTTTTAATAATTTTCATCTGCCTTTGAAACAATTGATACGGCACAAACGACCACACTTAAAACGGTCGCTCTCGCGGTCACTAATTCACTACGTATGACAATATAATATAACATGAATAAGCATACAATAAGTAAAAACGAGACGGTTATCGAAAAGTATTGTCAACGAAAATGACGAATGAAAATGACACCAATAATGCCTAACAAGTTATGGGATTGATGTAATATTCACTCGTCAAAACAAAGCCTCCCGCCAATGAGGAAAGTACCCGAAGCAGACAAAGGGTATATATACGGGTGCATTCTACCAAATAAGTATCCGCTCAAGCAACTTCCGACGGCTCAATTATTATTAAAACCCGAGAAATTAGCCACTACAGACTAATCCAGAAAATGTTAATTGAATAGAACATCCAATTCGTGACTTCAAAACTTCCAGATGAACGTACACTAAAAGTTGTACTAAAAGGTGTTCCCACTGACATCTCTACAGACGAAATTCAATGTGAATTAGAGTCGTTAAATTTTGACGTTAAACTTGTTAAACGCTTTGGCCCAGTGAACAAACCAATGCCAATTTGCTTAGTTATCATTGGTAATAGCCTTACATCCAAACATATCTATGAAATTACTGATCTATTTTATGTTAAAGTTTCTGTTGAGACCTATAAGAAATCAGGACCTTCACAGTGTTTCGCATGTCAACGCATAGGCCACGGATCCTCCAACTGCACCCACCCGCTTAGATGTGTTAAATGCTCAGGTGAACACAAAGCTAGCCAATGTCCCAAAACTATCGATCAAGACCCAACATGTTGCAACTGTGGTGGTAAACACACAGCAAATTACCGTGGTTGTCCATATCTCGCTCAAGCCGCTAATGCAAAGCTAGCCAAAAATCCACAACCAAACCCCTCACACCCTACAGATCAACCTATTCAATCTCATAGTGCCGATACCACTAAAGTGGACTACGCCTCTGCAACTAAGTCCAAGAAGACTTTAAGCAGCGAGCAGGTAATCGAACTTTTAACTGATCTCCTTTCAGTTCTGTCCACATCGGATGATCCCAAATCCATGCTAATATCCACTATTAAGTCCTTTATTACCCTATTCGCAAACCAACAATGATTTCTAGCTTAAAAATCGTACATTGGAACGCTAACGGCATTACAAAAAGAATTAATGAACTCGATGCATTCATTTTCACTAACAAACCTGATATTATACTACTAAATGAAACTCATCTCAAATCAAATCTAAGCCTCAAGATTCCAAATTATATCACATACAGGAATGACCTTCCGCAAATCCGTGGTTCTCCAGCCCATGGCGGCACAGCTATCCTAGTTCATCGTAAAATAGTCCATCAACAAATCGACACAAATACAAAACTTCAATCTACATCTATATTAATAAAAATTAGTAATAAAACCACTCTCATCTCTTCGGTATACAAACCCCCGTCGTCACCCTTACTTACATCTGACCTCGACCTTCTCATCAATAGTGCAGATAATTTTATTATTGCTGGTGACCTAAACTCAAAACATCCTCTCTGGAACAGCCGCAAGACAAATGCTGCCGGATCAATTCTTTATAGCCACCTCCTGCAAAATGACTACGCAATCTTCGCCCCTGACATCCCTACACACTTTCCAAGCTCCAACAAATGCAGACCTGACGTATTAGACATTGCTTTAATCCGCACTCATCTTCTAGTACACGTCACAAACCTAAACGAGTTATCATCTGATCACAATCCAATTCTACTTGAATTAACTGACTCACCTATCACAACCTCTCCCCCACCTCCGAACCTTCAAATCAATTGGGATAAGTTTTATCACACAATCAATGCAGAAAAACCTAACACGGCTCTTCTTACCAACTCCAAGCAAAACATTGACATCAGCATCCAAGCACTCACCAATTCCATCCAATCAGCTCTTGACAACTGCTCGTACACTGGCGTTAGGGTCAGTCGTCGCCTAGTTATTCCCGCGGAAATTCAACAAGAAATAAATGAAAAAACCCGAATCCGCCGAGAATGGCAACTAAATCGTGACCCCCAAATTAAAAGATCGCTAAATTCCAAAATCAAAACCATTAGACTGATGCTACAAACGCATAGGAAGGACGAATGGGACAAGTACATAGCTTCCATGAACCAAAACGAAAACTCTATATACAAGCTAAACAGGAGTTTGCTAAAGAAAAAGCCAGCTGTACACCCAATACTAGGACCAAACGGTTTGTCTTACTCTGCAAAAGAGAAATCTGAGATCATCGCGGACTCCCTTGAACGTCAGTTTTCTACCTTCAAGGGCCCAGATTTACCTGAAGTAAAGGAAAGCATCGCGGCCCTCAGAGGCTCAGTGCTTACTGGTCCCAATATTTTCACCACTCCAGGATCAATCCAAAAACTTATATCCAAGCTAGCAAAGAACAAAGCCCCTGGCAGAGACCAAATCACAAATACTGCCCTAAAGTTTCTACCCAAAAATAAATTACTAGACTTAACTAAAATAATAAACGGTTGCTTCAACCTATGTTACTTTCCAAGCGTGTGGAAACTCTCGTCCATAATTTCCATTCCGAAACTTGGCAAAAATCATCAACTACCAGAAAGTTACAGACCCATTGCTCTTCTTTCTTCACTCTCAAAAGTATACGAACGTTTAATCCTCCAATCTCTCCAAAAATCTTTAGCTGGTAAAATAAGAGATGAGCAATTTGCATTCCGCCAAAATCACTCAACTGCTCTCCAACTGATGGACCAAATAAGCGAAAATCTCAACCAAAACATTCAAACAGCTGCTATCTTCCTCGATGTTGAGAAAGCTTTTGATAGCGTGTGGCACGACGGGCTTCTCCACAAGATGATGTCCATGAATATCCCTCTACAACTTATCAAAATCACAGAATCTTTCCTCTCAGAACGAACCTTTTCCGTAAAAATTGAAAACCAAAACTCGTCAATAAGGAAGGCAAATGCAGGCGTACCACAAGGCTCTTGTCTTTCCCCTACGCTCTTTAATATTTATACGAATGACCTACCTACACTTCCTAAATCTCGTGTCTCCTTATTTGCGGATGACACAATGTTTTACTGTTCAAACCACAATGCGCGTTTTGCATCTTTCCAACTCCAAAAACAAATAAACCTGGCTTCAGACTGGTTTAAGAAATGGCGTCTCCATATAAATGAATCAAAAACCTCTGCAATCCTGTTTGGCCGTACAGGAACTGCAAAAATCAAAAATATCAATATAAATAATGTTCAAATCCCTTGGTCTAGGAGCGTTAAATATCTAGGAGTAACTATTGACCGCAACTTCAGTTTCTCCACCCACACATCCAACATTATCAAAAAAGCTACTCAAATTCGAGGTTTACTATATCCAATTCTAAATAAAAAAAGCCCAATCCCCACTAGAACCAAATTAAACCTGTTCCAAATGTACATCATCCCTATCCTAACTTACGCCGGAGAAGCATGGGCACCCTTTGTCAGCTCATCCACTTGGAAGAAAATTGAGGCGGTTCAGACTACAGGCATCAGGATAATTTTAGGTCAGCCGACCTTTGTAAGGAACTCGGTGCTTCTGCACACAGTCGGGTTCATTCCTATCCAAAAAACCATTAAAAAAAATGCCTCAGCCACTTTTCATAGAATCGCTAATTCATGGTACAACCATATAAGAACCATTGGCAGGTGTTCCCCCTCTTTATATACCTCAAGACATAAACAGCGTCCGAGAATAAGGCTTTGGGCAACAAGTTAAAGTAAAATTATAATAAAAAAAAAAAAAAAAATCCATCTCCTACTTCAGCTACTAGCAAAGGCAAAAAAGCCTGGAATAGTATATAGGCGAAAGCCGTGCTACCAAGTAAGTAAGTAAGTAAGTAAATAAGTATCATATTACTAACATCATCGCAGTATCATCATTCTATCATCGTCATCAACGTTCAGCAGTCAAAGCATCACCGACGATTCAGCAGCCGAACGATCATCAGCATCATTTGCAGTCTCAAACCACTTGTAAGTATACTGCATTACTGCTTTACTTACTGAACCACCACTCTCGACCACGAGGCAAGTGCACCCAAGAGGTCTGAATAGACCTATACCTATCATAATAATCTTGGTAAACGTTAATGCAAATCAAAATACCATGGGACACTCTAGGTATGGCTTAAAAATTTAGGACAGGCCTGGTTATAAAAATAATTTGTATAGTCAAAACATTTTTAAAATTTAAGAAAAATTGTATTATACTTTTTAAGTCATAAGTATGAGCCATGAGGTGTAACATGACGTACTAATATTAAGAACTATTTATAATATAAGTATTTATTTAATAAATTGAATTCGCCTGTTTTTCATTTTGGCGAACTCGTCAATTATCTTAGTAGGATCTTTCAACAACTCCGAACTGAACTCTCTTTCGATTGATATCAATGCTAAATTATGAAGACGCGTAGTAGTCATAGATGTCCGTAAATATATCTTGATTCTTCTCATAGTTGAAAAACTTCTTTCGGCTGATGCCGAACTTACTGGAATAACCAACACGCATTCAATAACCGATTTAATCTCCTCAAATGACTTTCCCATATCGCATATTTCTTTGTAAAAATCCATAATATTTTTACAGCCAAAATACATATTTTTTGCTAATCTGCATTGACTCAATACTTTATCCGAAAAATATTTATCATCATCGTCATAATAATTCGTAAATTTTAAAACAAAATTATCATTTAAAAAATTGTTTGATGTCGGATTAAATACTGATATTGCAGATAAAAAATCGGAATTGTCGTTAAATCTTTTGTTCATTTCACTTAATATATTATCTACCACTGTAAAATACATATCTCGCATATTTTGAATCGTAATATCAGTATTTTTAAAACCAGTCGTTGAAGTTATAACATAATCAGTTAATGTACTATTAATATTCGTACGTCGTTTTCTATCATTTGATAAAGAAATATTTAAATTCGAAGCTGTAATTTCAGATTTTGTATAGAAGTTACTAAAATGTTCATCTGAACGTAAACGTTCAAGATCTACTTTTGTAGCTTCAACTAATTTTAAACATTTAATTATATCGAGGGTTGACGATTGCAAGTGTATTGAAAGTGTGTTAACAGTTGATAAAATGTTATCAAGAAATGTTAGAACAAATATAATATTGAAAGAACAAAACTGATTTAATAGGCCTTTGGATTCTGCGGCTTCATTCTTTTTTGAACTTTTTGAACATATAGACAAAGCTTTTATAACATTTTCATATCGAATTAAAAAAAAATGAATACCTTTGTATTTAGCAACCCATCTTGTATCGCTATGTTGGGGTACTTTTAATACATTTTCGCAATCTTTTTGGACTTCAGAAAATATGCCATGGCGTAAAGTTGAACTTGATTGAAATGCATAAATTGCTTCCAGTAATCCTATCGTGTCGTCAACTATTTCAACTGATTTAGCAACATCGACTAAAACTAAATTTAATAGATGAGCGTAACAGTGTATATACGGACATTTGTTTTTAGAGAGCTCTCTAATTTTTATTTGTACCCCGTTGGTAGAGCCTGACATCACTGACGCACCGTCGTAAGACTGACTAATACATTTTTCAATGTCTAAACCAACTGCATTTAAAAATTCGATAATACAATGAGTGAGACCATGTGCATCCAACTTTAATACTTGTAAAAATCCTAAAAATCGTTCTTTAATAATTGATTTATGTACATACCTTATGCATATTGACATTTGTTCTAACGTTGAAGCATCTCGAGCTTCAACCACAATTAAACTGTACACCGAACTACCTTCATTAACTTCTTTAACAATAGTTTGTGTAATAATATTGGAAGACGCAAGTAAAATATCATTTTGTACAATGTTTGATGTGTATTTTGCATTTTTAGGAAAAGACTTTAAGTCTTTATCAAACTTTTCGTTTTCTAAACATAGTAAATCAACTAATTATTTTAAATTACCTTGATTGTTTGTTTGTTCAGTATTTACATTATAATGACCGCGTAAACCAATATCTTGCCGTGCGCAATACAAAATAGAACGAATAATACTTTTTAGTATTTCTCGATTTTTAGTTATATTTTCTTCAACATGACTATTAATTTGCAATGTGACCGCGCCAACACTTTTCGATGTCACAAAACCTTGATACTTTGCAAACGACGTTTTATGTGAATTTGCCTCATTATGTTTTTTTGTAATTCCTGAAATATTTTTCCAATCACTGTACCCTGAAACTATTAAAACATCTTGCTGTTTTTCATGAGATGTAGAAGTAGCAAAATGACGACAATAAAAACAAAAAATTGCATCCAATTGAACTGAATATTCAATCCAAGCAGGGGCGTATACAAGGGGGGATGTGGGGGTCAGATCCCCCCCATATAACTTTTAAAGAATTGTATAAAATAGTGTTTTTAGTGTTAGCCGTTAGGGCATTCCAAGATCACAAGGAAAAAAAAAAAAGCTAGGATTTTTGTAAATTTTTATTTCATAAATATAATTATTACAAGAATAGACTTTGTCTGTTCAGTCGTGCCACCGCCACCGCCGCCGATAACAACGCTGCGACGAAGACGCCCGCATGGTCGTGTGGCTAATAATACATTTTCCTACTTCTGGAAATGTTTTAAGAAATTATTATTATATAATGCACGGATGGGTTTTACGTATTTACACTACAATATTATCAATTTTGTATTAAAATCGACATTCCGTCAGTTGTACCTCGTATGTTGTACCGTACCTACTTAAATAAATATTGTCTTAAAATTTGAATAAAAGTAATAAATAATAATGAAGAAGCAGCAAACATTAAATAATTTTTTCCAACTACCCTCGACTACTCCTCCAGCCATAACTAGTACAATTACGTCTAAATCCAAACGAAATTCTGATGATGATTCCATTATTTCTACACCTCCAAAAATAATGCATTTGGATGAATTAGAAATTGATGAACCTAATAATGCAACACAACCTTTACAACGTACAAATGATATTGGTTTGTATATAAATTGTAATTTAAAAGACGCTGAAAAAAATCTTGTAAGTAAAATATTAATTAATTTATTGTTTTATTATTGAAGAAGTACCTAGTATTATTATTTTTAATTACTTATTGATAGTTTTTTGTTAATTAACTTATGTAGATTTTAACTAATTTATGGATTCCGGAAGTAACATATAAATTCCCATTGGTTGAAAAGAATAAAACTAGAAATCTTAGATTTCAACATCGTTGGTTACAATTATACAAGTGGTTAGCATACTCAGAAATTAAACAGGGTGGTTTTTGTAAGGTTTGTGTGATTTTTTCAAAAACTGGTGGAATTGGAGGTCAAAAGCTTAGTGTACTTGTATTGAAACCAATGGACAGCTTTAAAAAAGCTTTAGAAGTAAGTATTAAATTGTATTTTCTATATATTTTAAAATGCAACATATTAATTTTATTATTTATTTATTTTATAATTATAAGACTTTAAGCAATCATGCTAATCATGAATATCACAAATTAGCATTGCTAAAAGCTGATAAATTTTTAAACATTTGTACGCAAAAGGAACCAGAAATAATAAACACTCTAAATGAAGAAAGGCAAGTTTGAAATTGTATGCAATTTTTAAATATTTAATATGTAATGTTTGTTACTTATACAGGAATAAACAAGTAATTGAAAATCGAAAACGCTTGAGTTGTATTATAGAATGTGTTATGTTATGTGGCCGCCAAGAACTTGCTCTAAGAGGCCATCGAGATTTTGGTTCAATTTCATTTGATGGTAAGTTGTATTGTAAAAATTATAGTTTTATTATTATTTATTGATGCTTACTAGTTACTATACTAGCTTAATATTGTTATAAATAAAGATTATTTGAAGATATAAAATTATTTAATTACAGAGCAATCTAAAGTAAATGAAGGAAACTTCCGTGAAATATTAAAATATAAAACTAAAGATATTGATTACATGAAAAATTTTCTTTCGTCGGACTACCGAAACAAATATATCAGTCCTCTTATTCAAAACGAGATTATAAATAGTTGTGGAGATTTAATTTTGAAAAAACTTGTGAAAGAAATTAACGATGCAGGCTATTTTAGTGTATTAGCTGATGAAACTACGGATGTATCTGTAAAGGAGCAACTTACACTTTGTGTTAGATACTTAGTTGGTACTGGAAAAGATATTAACGTTCATGAAAGTTTCTTAAAATTTACTGAAGTTACTAGTTTAACGGGAGAAAATTTAGCTTCATTATATTAAGTGGTAATTTATAAATTATACATAAATTAGTTATTGTTCTTAACATTAAAATTTGTATTAATATTGTTTAGGTCTCAACGCATGTGGAATTAATTGTGATAATATTTGTGGGCAAGGATATGATGGAGCCTCAAATATGTCAGGTCACATTAAAGGAGTTCAAACCATAATTAGAGTTAAATATCCCAAAGCCTTATACGTGCACTGTGTAGCCCATACCTTAAATTTAGCTGTATCTTCTGCTTGCAATATCCAGCCAATTAGAAATTGCTTAGGGACAGTTCAAAAAATGTATTGTTTTTTTAATTTCCCAAAACGTCAAAATGTAATTTTAACAGCAATTGATGAAAGTGATTTGGAACCAAAATTCAAGACTTTAAAACGTTTATGTGCAACACGGTGCGTTCAACGATACGATGCGATAAATGATTTTGTAGAACTATTTCCATATGTAGTAATCTCATTGGAAAATATATCTGAGTGGACTGATGCATCTTCTGTGGATGCTAACTTATTGTTAAAGTTAATGGATTAAACATTTTTAATATCTTTACAAGTCATAAAAGTAAATATATCTGATTAGATATTATATTTATAGTTGTACAATGTATTTATCAATTTTGATAAAGATATTAAATATTGAATACATTATTTATCTAATTATTTAATTTTTAATTTTAATGTATTAAAGTATTTATTTTTATTTTAGGTTTTATTCTCATATAGACCACCTTTATGTAAACAGCTTCAACGAATAGAAATCGATTTAAGAGAAGCTGTTGGAACAGCTGATGATAATGTAAATGCTCTTAAAGTGCTAAGACAAAACATAGAAGTTGAATTTCATAAGATGTTTGAAAAATCAAAAGTATCAAATTATTATAAAATATAATTAATTGTACTTTTACCCTCCCTAATATTAATATATTAAATGTATATAAGAAAATGGCTGAATTTTTGGATGTTACCATTTCAATCAAACGTTTAAATAAGAGACAACAAAATTGAGCTAATCCATCAACAAATGATAAAGAACTTGAACCAGAAGCCTATTTTCGAACAACTATATGCATTCTGTTCATCGATGCTTTCATTCAGCAATTGGAAGACAGGTTTTTAGAACATAGAAATGTTTTTAATGGTTAGAACATAATGAATAATGATTAAATAAAACTATTATTAACTTATTACTACCTATACTAAATGTTTCTCATGTATCAGATTTTCAGTGTTTACTCTCATATGAGTCTAATAATCCACCAGCTGAATTTGATGACCTGGTAAAATTCCATTTCCATTGCGCCCTAAGTCCCACCCCGTCTCCTGTATTTTCAAAACGTGGCATTCTTTCGTTGGTAGCCCGTATTTTCGACCCGCTCGGGGTATTTGGTCCATCCGTGTTTTTGGCAAAATTGGTCATGCAACGTACCTGGGTCTCCGGATTGGGGTGGGACGACCCCCTTCCAAACGAAATAGCTAACGAGTGGCGAGCGTTTGTGACTGATTTGCCATCGTTATTACAAATTCGTATTCCACGACATCTTAATTCGTGCCAGGGCTATCTACTCGGTTTTTGTGATACGTCACAGCGTGGGTACGCGGCAGTGGTTTACGTACGCATGGCCGATGTCACAACCGGTCATTCAGTGTTTCTCATCGGTACGAAAACAAAACTGGCGCCAACAAAACCGATCACTATACCGCGCCTTGAATTAAATGCCGCCCTATTATTAGCTCGTTGGCTAGGCCGTCTTCGTGATATTTTATCATCACAGCTTAATATAATTGGTGTCCGGGCATGGTCCGATTCGATGATTGTACTTTCGAGGTTAAAGGTACCTCACGAATCATTTAAAGTTTATGTGTCTAATCGCGTGCACCAGATTCGCACGTTGTTGCCAGATTGCACCTGGTCATACGTGGAATCAGTCAATAATCCCGCCGATTGCGCGTCGCGCGGCATAATGCCAAGCGTGTTATCACAGTTCGAGCTATATTGGCGTGGTCCTCAAATAGCGCGCGGCGACCCAACGGAATGGGACGATTATCGCCCTGCAATCCCACTATGTGACTTGCCAGAAACCTATCATGTTTCTTTCACCACCCGTAACGACGACATAATGGGTGAATGGTTCGATCGATTTTCAGATTACGATCGCATGTAGCGCGTTGTAGCATATATGCGTAGATTTGTGTGCGCGTGCCGCCGCACTGTTGCGCTCAGGCGGAGTGGTGACGACCGTCCATTTGTATCACACAGATCCGAATCAATCAATTCCGCGTTTTTGCGCAAGGATGAATTAGATCGCGCGGCCCAATTATTAGCAGCCGATTCGCAACGGGTGTATTTTTCAGTGTTGTTGCGTGAATTGTCCTCCGGGAGTCGCATTTCGTCCAGACCTTTGGCTCGTTTATCTTCATTTGTTGACCCGGCAGGCGTATTACGTGTAGGTGGTCGCCAGCGTCATTCCACATTAAATTATGACTGTAAACATCCTATCTTGTTACATAAGAGGTCACATTTTTCCCTATTGTTATACCAGGGCACCGGGCAACGTGTCATGCCGGCCCGCGTGTTCTAGCCACACTTATTTCGCGACAGTTTTGGGTGGTGTCATTACGATCCGTATTACATAGTGTAATTTCAACATGCACCGTATGTGTACGGCACGACGCGAAACCTTTACAGCCATACATGGCTGACTTGCCTGACACTCGTGTACAACAGCGACGACCGTTTGAGCGCGTAGGTATCGATTATGCCGGCCCTCTACAAATGCGCGAAGTGAGTCTTCGAAAATCGCGCGTATTCAAAATTTATGTAGCCGATTTTGTCTGTTTTTGTACAAAGGCCGTTCACCTTGAGGTAGTTACGGATTTATCGACAGACGCATTCCTGGCGGCCTTTGATCGCTTTGT